GAATTCACAGAAAATCTTGTCTAAATACACCTAGAGCGTTAACGTCTTTGCAGTTCTTCCACATCTGGTACCAGACAGCGTAAATGCCCCTTTTTAGCTCATCCCAGCTCTTAGCTATGCGAATCCTTACTGTTTGTCTCAGCCACGCTGCCGAGGTGCAGCTCTGTGAACAATTTGGCCTCCTCCTGTCACCGGGGAGGGACTGGCCGCCTCCTCTGGCCGCCTGTGCTGGCCCTGGGTCTCCTCTGCCTGCAGCCGGGGGATCCGGCTCCCCACACAAAGCCATTAGTCTTGTTCCAGGGCTAGTCGTCTACTTTCGTAAGCTGGATTGGGACTGTCCACTCTCTGTGGTCAGATCAATGTCCCCCCCCCAAAATCAAGAGAGAGAAACGGTTAAGAGAAGTGGAGTGTTGGAAGGGTAGGGAGGGTACGAGGAAGTGGGGCGACAGTCTTCTGCTGTTAGCAGATTACTAGTTTGTCTCAATCTAGCTGCACTCTTAAACATTGTGAAACCGACCGAAAAAAATTACTGCTTAGTAGCAATATAGGCCTCTTCTAAGTCTGTCTGTTCCTGAGTTGTCATGGAGACATGCAAAATAAAAGGAGCTGGAAATTCCCAAGGAAAGAGTGGGGGGATCCTTTTCAGAAAAGGGTTGATGAGATTTGAGAGGTGCTTTGGAAATCTAGGGGGTGGCTTCTGAATATGACCTGGCACGAAGTCTGTTTGCTCTCTGTGACTGTCTGAGACCATGCCCTCAGTGTAATTCCAGAGTTGGCTTACCAAGAGCTATCCGTGACTGCGTTTTTTTAGCCAAGTCGGTCTCTATGTTCATTGTAACAGAACTGCAACCATCTATTCATGCATCACTGAACACTAAGTACCAAAGATAACACATAACTCACTAGGTACCAAAGCAGCTCATTACTAAGCTTATTTCTCTGTTTTTTAATTAATTGCAGCTATGCATGAATCCGGAAGTTTTGCAGCATCACGTTCTAGACGTGAGAAGAAGTCTAGAAGAGGCCAGCAACAAGCACTAGAACGTCTGAAAAAAGCCAAAGCTGGTGAAAAAATAAAATATGAGGTGAAAATTCTCCATCTCTTCTTTTTAATAACAGCTGAACATGAGCTGAAATGCTTAAATACCCTTTATATGTATCTAAAAGTTACGGGAAACAAAATCTGCCTTTCAGATCAGCTTTTATTTTTTAACGGTGTATGTATTTCAGAATGTAACTGTAATTGTTTTGTTGCTTTCTGGTATCGTTTATTTGTTTTTGTCTGTTTTCAAAACTAAACCAATGTTAGTAACTGCAAGTCAAACATGCTCGATGTTGCTTGATAACTATTCCACAGGAAAGGACCAAGTTTTAAAATTTAATTGCATAATTAATGTCATGTTAGGAATTACTTTTTTTTTCACTTCAAATTATTTTAAACTTTAAATGAATTTCACAGCTTTTCATGACTGAAATGCATTAATATTGATATGCTGTGTTTCCACAGAGAACCCAAAATTTAGTTATTTAGCTGGTAGAACTGAAATCTGGCAGTCTAACATTGATACTGGCCAATTAATTGTAATGCCAACAGGAAGTGATTTCTGCATTGAAGTGGATAAATCTAAAGCCTGAAGTGTGTAGATTGTTAACATGCAAATTCACTCTGAGTCACAGAAGAACATCTTCGGCATTATGCTTGGGCACCTCAAATCACCCTTCTTTTCACTGAGCTCATCTTGGTGTTTGAGAGTAGAGCCAAAGGTCAGAAGTCTCCCTTGCTAGGATTTTTTTTGTTTTTATTTTTCTAATGTGAAACTAGCAATAAAGCAAGTCAGTTTCAAATGAAATGTCTGCCAGTGCTTCAGTAGATTTTGAGTTTCAATATACTGTGATAATTTTAAAAATTGATAACTTGTCTTCTGTCATTGCCCTAAAAGAAACTTAAACTGGATGAATAACTGGTGCTTACTAATTGTGAACAATGTAACAGTGTAGGAAACCACAGATTTATTGGGAACTTTTATGTTCTTTTTAATGACCCATATTAGTAAGTAATGGTATGAGAACTATTAATTCTCAGTATACCTTAACTGTAGGTTGAGGAGTTCACAGGTGTTTATGATGAAATAGATGAGGAAGAATATTCCAAGATGGTCAGAGAACGTCAGGATGATGACTGGATTGTTGATGATGGTAAGTTAAGATTCGTTTGGAGCGTTACTTTGATTATAGTGTTCTAACTCAATTAGGCTTCATAATGTTCATGATTTGAGGTAAGTTATAGTTAGTGCATTCTTACAAATTGTTTTAGGAGACAAGAAAAAGATAAGCTTTTGTATGGAAATGAATCTTTTACATTGTTCTCATAGTAGTGTATTAGGATGGTAATGAAAATATTTTTGCAATAAGTACTGTTTTGAAATTTTATTTCCAGTTATCAGTGATGTAACTTTAAAAAGAAGTACTGTAATTGATAATTTCTAATTAAGCACATAATACATACTTAGTCTAATAGAAGATACAGCTGAGAGTGCAGTAGTTTTCAACACTTTAGCATTTATCACTTTTGCTTCGTATTAAAGGGCAGAAAGTGTTTAAATATGTAAAATTTGGATTATGAATATATTTAGAAATACCGGAAGACAGAATTTAAAATGTAAATTTTTAACAATTTGTTTTTCTACAGATGGTATAGGTTATGTAGAAGATGGAAGGGAAATCTTTGATGAAGATCTTGATGATGATGCTCTTGACTCCAGTAAGAAAGGTAGGCTGACCATGACCACTGTAGAAAGTCTTGCAGTGGCTTTTAAAAGATACCTAAAACGGGCAACTCCTTCGCATCAGTATGTGGTTAATATGGCCAAATGACATGTTACTTGAAGCTCTGTGGTTCTATGCCTGTGGCTGTGGATTTTGTTGATGCAGTAGAGGTCCACAAATGGAGGTCAAATCACTGCTAACTACTTCAGCGCTACCAGGGCAATTTTGCTTACAGTCTTCTATGGGGGTATGTATTCACCTCTAGAACAAATGCATCTAGGAATGATCTTGGTTTCCAAAGCCAGTATTTAAAGGATGTGTGGTCTCTCTTGCCACTAAAATATTTGCATGCTTCCGAGGATCTGAGATCAAATGATTTTGTCACCTTTTATGAAGTTGGTGGCAAAATGAGAAATCGGGTCTGATGTTGAGAATCCAAGCCTAGTGCCAAACTCCTGGACACTCGTTTTTTTTTCTGGAGTTGCTTCCATGTAAAGTATCTTGGTCCTTTTTCTGGAGTATGAACTTGAGTATACAAAGAGCATCTCTGACGTGACTTGGAAAGATAGGGTGCTGACAGGGTTTTGCTTTTTTGTGTGTGTGCATGACAGTTGCTACAAAGCTGGCAGCTAAAGAAAGATGATTAGACTTCATTTCAGCCAGCAGTGTGAAGGTGGAGGAAGTAGACTATCTCATGTATTCCTGCTAATAACTGGACACTTAAACATTGAGCTTTTCTGGTGTGGAATTCACAATTTTGTATTTTACTGTAGGAAAAGGTGGCAAAACATCTACGGTTGATAAAAAGAACGTGAAAAAATCTGTGGTGTCAAAGCCAAACACAATTAAGTCTATGTTTATAGCCAGTGCTGGGAAGAAAAACACAGATGTAAGTTTTTACGTTTTTGAATTTGAAGATTTCTGACTTGTTTGCAGTGTTTTAGTGGGAGTGGAATAAAGCAAGGGCTCGTTTCAATTTCTTGTGTCTAGCAAGTCATAGACTCCTATTACAATCTTTTGTGTGTGGAGCATTCTTGAAAACGTTGTGTGTGTTTTGTAGAAACCCTTTAGTTGTTTGCTGCTGGTCTCCTGATAGGGTTTGCACATATAACTAACAACTGTTTGGCTAATCTATTACCTTACAGAAAACTGTGGACCTGTCAAAGGATGACTTACTAGGGGATATTCTTCAAGATCTTAATGCTGAAGTAAGTATGTTAATAAAATCTGCCTGAAACCCCTTAATCCATTAATTTTTCTTGCCGTGGAACGTATCAAGAAAATAAAGTTCTTCCTAAAACTAGACCATCTAAGATGGATTTCTTCCATAGTACATCTGCTTGGTATATTCCACGTATGTACACAGTCTACCTGTCATCCCCACCGTGCAGAAGTTACATGACTGTATTGGTCATGGGATGTAGAGCCTGTGCTAATGCAGCCTTCTAGGTTTTAGTCAGCTTGGAGTGAAACAGGGTTTGCCTGCATCTGAATCGTGTATACCATATATTTCTGTCACCACGTTCCAGCCAGTATACTGTAGGGTGTTTCCATCTGGTGTGTTTGGGTCCACAAGAGGAGCTGAGGGAGGGCTGTTTCAGCAGACGACGTAGCCTGAAGTTCTGTCTTCCTCCTCCTGCTTTTCGCAGTTTGCTACAGAGAACAGGATTAATGCTTCCTCTGAGTTAGGAGTGCAGCATGGCTGCTGTGGCAGAGTTGGACTGTCTCTAATGAGGCTCTTCTGTGTCATTAATGATTTCTCAATAAATTAATGCCCCTTAGTAGGATTTCTTAAAACTGAAAGGATTGCTCACATGTAAACCGTGAAACTGGTGTAATGGTGAGGTGCTGAATTGAAATATGTTTTATCATAATAGGCATAATGTGTTTTTGGAGAGCAATAAGAGGACTGTAGATGTTCCAATGTAAGGTTTTCTCTTGGTTTTGTGCACTTAATGCTTTACTCCTCCCTGTGACATCTGATTCATAGTTACAATACCTTAGGCTATCAAAAACCCTCAAATCATTAAGCAAATGCATTTTAATGCTGTCATATTTTGTGGAGCATTGATTTGGGGTAATAATGCTAATAATTATACTATGGCTTCTATTTACTTAAACAGTAGTTAGCTATTGGGTTTTTTTAGCTTTATTGCTTGTTCTCTAAATTTTCTTTTGTTATTAGCTGTTGATAAGGACGAGTACAAAATATCTGTACATGTAAATAAATTAAAATGGGTTTTCCTCTAGCGTGACAGTGCTGAAAGAGCACTTCTGCCTTTCTTAAAGCATGTGTGCTCATTTCTACTGTTAGAGCAGACATGAATAACATCCCACCAGTTATTCTGATACTTGTACATTAAAGGCACAGTTAGCTACTGAAATGCCCACTGTTTGAAAACTGTTTCACTTATTGATGACAATTTTTCTCTCTTAACTGTTTACCAAAAAAAATGTCTGTCTTCATGGACTGATTGCTCAGACAACTTTTTATTTTTATGTGGCCGAGTTTTATATCAGGAGGTGCGTTTTCTTGGCAGATGAGAAATACCGATGGCCTTCTTTCTCTGATGGAAAATGTTACTAGCTAAGGCAAAAGAAAACACTAAACAACACCTGTTCATTTTGTTACTTTCTCTTTCCATATTCAGACTGTTCAGATAAGTCCACCACCAATTATAACGCTGAAAAGGAGAAGATCTGCTGGAGTACCACTGAATCCTTTCTCTGTGCAGTCCCAAACTCCAAAGGTAAAGGAAGAAATTTTTTAAAAATCATATTAATAAGTATTGATCTGTATTTTTTTTTATTTAGATACTTTCATTGTCTTTCGTTCTTTCATTTCTGCTTCCAGAAATTACCTTTCTCATTTGCTTCCTTAGCAATGTTACTGTGTAACTTTATGCATTTTTCATCTTCCTCTTCCATGTTAGTACGTAAACAGAATGCAGCTCTTTCTGTATCTTTAGTATAGTAGTAGTATATAGCTGTTACATTTGACAGCTGAATTTTTTATAAAATGGGGTGCCTCACCTGAAGGTGAGCTTCTGCTTTGTCTCTTTTTCCCTAAGAATAGAAAAGACCCTTGTGGCAAGGAAAGGATGATGGGAAGTGAAGTAAGCAGAAGAAAGAGTATTTGTGGGTGTGGAAAAGGATAAGAAACTCATCTTCTGCAGAAATGGAAAGCAAATGGAAAATTGAAGCCATAGATAGAAGTTTACCCTACAGGAAGATTTTGGAGTGAAAGGAAGGACAGGCTGTTAAGGATGGAAGGCTAGCATTTTGTTAAGAGTTCTGGTAAATGAGGAGGACTTTATAGCTGGAAGTACAATGAGATATTTGATAAGAGTCTATAGAGGGCAAATGGAGTGGAGTAGATAAATCTAATTTGTGAAACCTTGTGTAATAGTGACATCAACTCTTATGTTGAAAATAATCACCAGTGGCACTCATTTCAGTGGTTGTGTTGGAGCCTAGAAGTAATTGAAAAAGGAACAAGGGGGAGATAAAGTAAGAGAGGATCTTTGCCTTTTTGGTGCAAAGCAGTGGTCACTTTCGTAGGAAACATTGAGAAGGAAATTAGTTCCTGGACAGGCTGTTCAGGTGATAGCTTCTGTGCTCCTAGGAGGAGGAATTGGAGGTTTTAGACAATGAAGCAGGTAAAAAGGATGAAGAGTGCAGTCTTAGAAAGTAAATGGGCATAAAAAGCCAGATGGCAGTGATGCTTTCTACTGCAGAGACGAGCAGAAATATAAGTATGAATAAATTCATTTGGCTGAGCTAGCAAAAAAACGTTCATGAAGGTAGATTAAGTAATGTTTGCTTTCTGTTTAAGGTGAGTGAAGGACTGAGTTTGATGTTGGCCACAGTAGAAGCAGCTGTACTGAGATTAAAACTCTGTAAATGATTGAGTCCAACTCTAAATTCTATGTCTGTAAATAACTGCTTACCCCGAAGATAAAGGTTTTGGAACTTGCTGCAGGTTAAGGGCCAGTAGATGCAGAAACCTGTTGTTGGCCAGGTGGAGGCTACTTCATACACATCTTCTGTAAGAAGAGATTCTGTAGCTGCTGCCATAGTGGTATCCTGTCTGAAAAACAAACTGTGCTTATTGCCTCAGAGTTTAGGCTTGCAGAGCATGCTGAAATGTGGTTTGTTTGTTGTCCTCCTTCTCCCTGTCGTGTCTGTAGTGTGAAGAAATCCAACAGAGAAGCAGTCTGTTCTCTAGACCCATGGTGTCCTGTAGACATCTTGAACTCATTACTGATACAAACAGGTGTGAACTGCCATATTGGCCTTCCCCAATTGTTCCAGGCTTGGTCCCTGTCTGACATAAATTGTCACGTATTCAGTTGACAAAGAGGTTTTCATTTATGAATGGAGTAGTGCTACGTGGGAAAAATAACAAAAGTAACCACAAACTTAATTAAATGTCAGCCATGGCCTGTCACAAACAGCTTTTAAAAATTATAGTAGAAACACGTCACAGCAGAAATTATACTCTAGAATTTAGAGTTTACTTTTGAGGAGTTTAGCTATCGTGCTACAAAGTATGTGGAGTCTTTCCTCTAGACCTGGTTACTAGTTCTGCAGATAGCAAGTGCTAGGGTTTTGTTGTTGTTTTTTTTTTTTTTTTCCTTTTTGTATCTTAAGAGACTTTTAACTCATGTCTAAAATGTCTTTCAGGTAATCACCCCTACATCAAAGAAAGCTCCTGCTCATCTCAGAAAGGAGATTCTTCCTCCAGCTTCATTTCGTCCTAAACATTCCAATTACACAGCAAAGTCTGTCATAGTCTCTGAAAATGAGGATACCCAGTATGTGCAGAAGGCTACAGAAAATGGGAGAATAGTGAAGACAATAGAAGAGAAAGCTATTGAAGGTATCAAAAAGAAATCACAGAATCACAGAATGTTAGGGATTGGAAGGGACCTCAAAGGATCATCTAGTCCAATTCCCCTGCCTGGGCAGGACCACCTAGATCAGATCACACAAGAACGCGTCCAGGCGGGTTTTGAACATCTCCAGAGGAGGAGACTCCACAACCTCTCTGGGCAGCCTATTCCAGTGTTCTGTTACCCTTACTGGGAAGAAGTTCTTCCTCATGTTTAAGCAGAACCTCCTATGTTCCAGCTTATATCCATTTCCCCTTGTCCTATCATTGGATGCCACTGAGAAGAGCCTGGCTCCATCCTCATGACAGTCACCCTTTACATATTTATAAACATTAATGAGGTCCCCCCTTAGTCTCCTCTTTTCCAAGCTAAAGAGACCCAGCTCCCTCAGCCTCAGAAATCAAACCGTATTTCTGGAAACTCTTAAATATGGCATATCAGTGTTAAAATGCTTCTTAGTTTATACTAGTTAGACGCTTAGATAGCTTAAATGTGATATTTCGTTTGTATATTAATACTGTATATTACGTTCATGGGTATGGTATGTTATCTGTGCATACTGCTGTAGTATGCACTGTGTCATTTTAATGACTTAAGCCTTTAGTTCTATGTGCAACACTTCCAGATGATGGTCAGGGAATGATGGATTTTGATGAGGAGGACTTTGATGAACCTATGGAAGCAGAACATGTGGAAACTATACCTGAGACAGCTGAAAGCTTGAAGAGAGACAAAGAACCTGAAAAGAAAGAGACAGAGCAGCTGGAATCGAAGAAGAAAGACACATCTGTCTTGTAAGAATATCTTTTTTTTTCTTCCACCAATAAACCTTAGATTTATCTTCATGTTTTTCTTTGCCAAAGGCATCATTGTGTGCCTTTTTTTTTTTGTGTAGTGATGTTAAAAATGGTAATGCTGATAGCTACTTAATTGAAAAATACTTGGTGTTTTGGAGATTTAGCACATGACAACATAACACATTTCAGTACATTTTGATGACTCAGTATGGGTGTTGAACAATGAATTTTGATGCCAGTAAGTAAAAATGAGGAATGGCTAATGATGCTTATTCCAAGCAACTATGAAGGTATTTTGTAACATCAGTTATAGTTAAAAGTATTGTCACTAAAAGTAATTTCATATGGTGAACAGCGTGTCTTTGGAAATAGGAAAAAAGTGATGATGTGGGTTTTTTTTTATTGTTTGGAAGAATCTTGACTCATGTGTTTCCATAGCTTTAAACTGTAAAATATTTGAATGATCAAAAAAACTTGAATATTTAATGACTGAAAAGGTAGTTTTGTTGGAATGATGTGTTGTTCCCCTGAGCAACTTGTAGAAATGGATGGATGTACTTGTTATGTAAAGAGTTGAATAACCAAGGCTAAAATACCAGACTTTTAAAGCCCATGTATTGTGTACTGAGAACCATACTTGTATGTGGGTTTCTCTCTTTGTCACTCCATCCTTCTTTTCAGAAGAAATCTGAGGAAATCCAGCTGTGGAGAGTGTTGCTTGGTAGTGGAAAAAGCAACAAAAGGCCTGAAAATGTAGTGTTGAAAAAAAGTGAAACAGTGGTGGTTATAGCAAAGACAAAATTTTACTTCTTGTTTCTTTCTTTTTCTGTAAAACTTGCAGAAGTTGTTCCCTCCCAGATATCTCCTGTTGGGACAGAGTTGATGAGGACGAAGCTGACCTAGTAGCAGCAGAAGTTCAGCTGGACCCCAATCTCCTTCCACTTGTGACTGGGGAAAACGATGATCAAGTCTTAAGATTTTATTGGCTGGATGCTTATGAAGATCAGTACAGTCAGCCAGGTAACTGTTCAGTTAAAGGCAGAAAATGCCATTCTGATTCTTTTTATGTAACTGGGATTTTCAAACTTGCCTAAATTATGTCTAGATACCCTGTCTCTTTGTGCTCTTTAACTTGAACGTTGATCTCTTGTTTTTTCACACCTTTGTCCTCAGTGCAGGGCACTATGACTGGGCAAAGTAAGAATGTTGTCTCTTGGTCTGGTATAGTAGTAGGGAGGTAGAAGGGAGCTACTAGCACTTCTCAGTGTTGGTGACCCGTTGGCTGCCTTAAAACCCTATGCGCTCCAGGAATAAGCTGATATTGTTAATTTCTCCCTCAGTGGTGCAACAACTGAGCATACTTTCTTCTTGTTTCTGGGAATGTAACTTAAAACTCTGGTGGATTGTTATAAAGCCTGTGCAATAGCAGTTGCATGATTTTATATGAAGCGAAGATATCCCTGTCAGGGGAGGAAAGTGGCCTGAAAAACGTAAGCTCTGTCTAGATCCCTTTATTCAAACTGTCTAAATCTTGTAGATTGTCTCTGTATTAACATCCCTAAGATACTTTGTGCAGTTGAAGTGTGAATCCTGGTTCTCATCATCTTCAAAACTGCAGCATTCTGATCTCAGCCCTGACAAAAGAAGTGTTCACATCTGTTCTAAACACTTCCCATCCGTCCTCTCATTTCATCAGCAGCTTTAGGGTCTTGAGTTTATAATTTGTGCTTCATGTAGGTTTACCAGAAGGTTCTTCCATATATTGTTGAAGGTTTTTTGGGTTGATGCTGTAAGCACTGAGTCAGATATGTTTCTCTGTTACACCTTTTGTTGTGAGTTGAGATGCCAAACTTAAATGTGAGAGTGTGCTGGGCTGAAAAGCTTCGTGATGGGAGTGGTAATAATCATAGATATCTTGATGAAATCAATGGCTCTAATATAAAATTGCTACTTTTAAAGACCCCACTATTGTTCTTTGTCTTTTTTTTGTCTTCTAAGTCAGTGGTTGCTGAATGGAACATAATTATGAAAGGATTTCTGCTCCTCGCATGCAAGGAGTGTTCTTTTCTCATTATGACTTTTTCAGGATTGAATAATAAAGACTGCACCTGTTTTCAATTAGTGGTGTAGAAGGGAAAATTTCGATACTGCTTTTTGTTTAACATGTTCATGATCTTTGTTTATACCTCATTTGCTGTGATGTCAGATGCATTGCCTGAAGAGTAAATACTATAGCATACTCATAAGACTCTTTCAAACTTAATGTTTGAGGCTTACTTTCCATAACTCCCTTTACTATCTTAGGCAGAGAACTTGGGAATTGTCAACCTATTAACATCTTAAAGAAATAACGAATAAAAATTCCCCTTTCTTTCTCCTCTGGCAAGACATTTTCTCTGTCTCTTGGCTTTGCTTGCCGTTTGATTCGTTGGTAACATGATCTTTTTTTTCACAGACTTTGTATTTTATAAACTTCACTCCTATTTTTTCTTTCTTTCTTCTTTCATAATCAGGCTTACAGGGGATAGGTCCTGATACCTCTTCTCTCATTTCTTGGTTTTACATGTGAAATGTCTCTGAAAACTGGGGTGGGGGCGATGTGTGTGTTGATGTTGGACTAGGTGACCTCCGAAGGTTCTTCCCATCCTCAATTACTCTAATTCTGTGAAATCTGGGGATTAAGACCACTTATTTGTCCATGCTAGAGCTGACTGAAGTTTGTCTTTGCAATCCAGGCCACCTTTTACCCTGTCTTTGACTGGCTCGTGTATCCTTCTTTCTACCTCACCTGCTTATATGTACGCCTCTGACAGGTTAACTGCTCCGTGATCTTAATATTGCCAGCTGTTCAAGCGACCAGCTCCTGTTTTGTGGTCTCTCCCATAGTTTCACCTTTCTGTATGATACAAACCTATTTGAGTTTTTTATCCCTTTAAAAGAGAGGAAAAAAAAAAAGATTACTGGGGAGAAGAACTTCATCTTCCCTGTCACTTAGGTCTGTAATTTGAGCTCTTTCTAGATCCTTTTATTCAAAGTGTCTAAATCTTGAAGATTGCCTCTGTATTAAAATCTCTGAGATACTTTGTACAGCTAAAGCTTGCATCCTTGCTCTCATCATCTTCAAACCCGCAACATTCTCTGTCCTTGACAAAAGTAGTCCTGTTCACATCTATTCCAAGCACTCAAGAAATGATTTTTCTTAGCCTGTCACTCTCACTCTGTCATCTGTCTTAGTGCATCTTCACTGATTTATCTTTGATCTAATGGAGTAAGAAAGGTGCCTTTACATCTGATAGATCGCGTGGCAAAGATAAATTATAGCTCTTAACCAAGGGCTTGTTTGTGCATTGTCAGACCAAGGAGAAATGCAGGTTCCAAAATCTTCCTCATGTGAAACAGTGTGTCTGAGGCAGTCTCAGCTCTGATATTTCTGATTTAATTAATAGTAGTGTACTGTAGGAATAATGTCTTTCATGTAATCAAATTCCGAATTATTTGGAGTTTGAAGGGAATTCAGATGAAGCCAGGATTTTAAGTTGTGCTTGGAAGTTTATTTTACTTGTAGCTCACAGATTGTACGTGAAAGTCGGCTATCCTTGTTCTGTGTTATTTCGAAGTTTAACATCTCTTGATTAGCAGTTAGCAGTGTTTTGTGATAATGCCACGTTCTCTGTGGTTCCAGAGATGTTCATGTACAATAGTGATGTGATCCACAGTGAAGTCAGTTGCACTGGTCCTGCTCTGAATGTAGGCTTTCTGAATGTCTACCTTGGTTACAATTGCTGTCTTAGCATCCAGGATTTCTTGCCATGTCACACATCTTTCAGTGTCAAAACAGTCAGTTGAAAACTTTTTACAGTTGATCAGCTTCTATTTGTTGTCTTCAGAATGTATTTCTTCAGATTTTGTTTAGTAGTAGAGTTTTGATCTCATGGTACTAAAGTGTAGGAAGAATGAGTTAATTGTGCTGGTCTAGCTGAACAATGAAAAATTGTAGATAACACGTGTTTCAGGAGTGATTGACAGCACAGACATTCTGATTATCTTCAGCTTACACTAACTTCTCTCTCCTTCCTCCCTCTCACCATGAATTATCAAATTAATGTAGGTAGAAATGGAATATCAGAAGAGAATTCTGAGACTGGCTCTGTGATGCCATTTTGAATTTCACATACCAAGGTGTTAACTATAGTAATGGAGGTAGGGACATGAACTATATAGGTGTCTATTTGTAAAGCTGGTGTTTAAAACAATTTAGAGTGTGCTGATACATTGGAAAGATTTGTTATTCAGGGGCCTAAACCAGAAATGGTTGTGTTTCTATGCATAATAAGCTGCTGTGTTTCTAATACATAATAAGCTGCTTTAGACGCTGATACATTGGAAAGATTTGTTATTCAGGGACCTAAACCAGAAATGGTTGTGTTTCTATGCAAGAATACATAATAAGCTGCTTTAAAAAACATTAAGAATGATTGATTTAAGAGTTGCATACTGAGTTCTTTGCTCTGCCCTTCTTTCTTAGGAGTGGTATTTTTGTTTGGCAAAGTTTGGATTGAGTCTGCAGACACGTATGTCAGCTGTTGTGTTACAGTGAAAAATATTGAGAGAACTGTTTATCTACTGCCACGTGAAACAGTAAGTATGTCTTTTAAGCATGTCAAACATAAGTACCTTTCATTCTGCTTATGGCAGGTTATGAGTTCTGGGAGTGTGTTTATGGGAACTGTCGAAGCAGTGTTGTCTGATGTAGGTGGTAAAGTACAACATATACATGGAATATCACAGGTGAGATGCAGAGTAGAGCATTGCCGCTTCCCCCCTACCCAAACTAACAACTGCAGACAGATTGTTACCTTTAGCCTTGCTGCTTGGGAAGTAAAATTGTCTTGAAGTATTATTAGAAAACTTGGTGCTTTTTAAACACTGTTTCAAATAATATTTTTTAAATTTGGATTTTCGTGGCTGATTGCCTTGTTGTTTTCCCCTAAAGAAGAGATACATGATTAATAATAGCAAAGCAAACTTCAGCTTACTGGTTATGTCTGCTGGCATTTTTTGTTAATTTGTAAAACCTGACTTCTGTTTTTGAGGAAATGGACCTGTCCACTGGCAAAGAGACGGAGACTCCGATAACTATAATGAGTGTTTTCAAGGAATTTAATGACTGCATTTCACCAAAGTATAAGATCATGAAGTTCAAATCCAAGGTTTGTCTACAAGCGTCCTAGTTGGTCGTTCTCTATTGTTCTGGTTTGTAAGGTGGGAAATCTTTTGAAACACTGTCCAGTGGGGGATGTTATGCTGAAATGCAAATATATATATATAACCTCTCACATGTGTAAGTGTACCTGCTTGTAAAAGCCATCTCAGTGTTTTCCCAAATATCCATGCTCCTTTCAGAACAGTAAATCTGCAACATGATTGTTCCACCAGAAGTTTAAACATTACTGCTTTTGAAAGTACTTATTCATTAGCTTCTTTGAAACTGGATTGAATGTCAGACTTCCTTACTTGCTTGCTGAGCTATTTTTGAGAGTACAGAACAAATAGAAGTTCTGATACCTAAAGCCAGGGTGTCAGCTCATGGTATCAAAGTTAAAAATGAAAGATTGTGTTGTCCAGTAGATAGGTTAGTGCCCTGGGATTAGACTGTCTTTGCATTCGACCAGGTGTCATCATATTGAACTTTATCTCTTGGCATGTTTCATCCTTCTCCTCAGATTTATCTTTTTTAGAATGTACGCTGTTCAGAAGGTGGACTGTCATAGCGCTTTTATACAGGATGTAGCAAGTTGTGAGGACTGTCATGCAGTCTTGAAACGTAAGCTGTTCGGGGCAATAGTCTTATAGTGTTATTTTGCTGTGTTCTGTTTGCTCAAAAAATTCCTAAAAGAATATTGGAAAAGCAAAATGTTGCTATAATGGGAAATTTGCACATAGAGTTAAATAATACTTGTCAAAACTGTAGGAAAAGAGCTGATATTGCTGATACTGTTGTAGATTTGGACTGAATTAGTTTGATAGTGTGAGAAAGCTTTCTCGTTCATGTACAGAGAACATTTGTCTTTTGGCAGGGAGGAAGGTGAAGAGTTTGTGTGTGGGGAAGGGTGGCTCACATGGAAGTTAGAGGAGAAGATTTGTTCAGAGTGAAGTGCTCAGAAACTTTTCTGTTTCTTGAAGTAAGATGTCGTTAGTCTGGCAAAGCTGGCTTTCATTGTCGTTACTGGGTGGTGTGGAATTAGTTCTAACGTTTCCCAGGCTGGCAAACTTGTGACTTCATAGAATTTGTTCCTGAATAGTTGATCAAGAAATGGGATGGCAAGTAAAAATGCAGGAAGAATAGAATTTAACAGTATGTATATGAGGGGAAAATAAAAACAAGCTCATATGGTAATTCAGGTTGGAAAGACCTTCAAGAGGTCATCTAATCCAAAGCTAGAGTACTTCAGAAAGTTTAAGTTGTTAAAGTGAAAACGTGAGCAGTGCTTCTCAAATGGCAAATTCCTGCAAGAAATGACATCTTTTCATCAACATGTAGCATTATTTACATCATTCAGGGAAAATGCATGCTTCATTAGAACTTTGTAAAGCTTTATTGTTATTTTTTTGTTCTAGCTTATTTTCTCTCTCAAAACTGATGCAGATTTAGCTTTCTCAGTTTTATCAGTGTTATTTTTCTTCTATATTTGATTGTAACTTAGTCGTCATGTATGAGGATCAAAAAGGAATGGATTTACAATAGGTAAAAAATGAATTTGTAATAGTTCACTGTTCAAAGATCCTTTCAAGAATGAGGGAGGAAACTCAGGGCAAATCAGTTCTTCATTAAAAGAAAGGATACAAACACTTGTACTCTAGAGATGGAAGGAGGGGCAAAGGCCTTTGAAAAGACACAGATCTGCTAACAGAATCTTAGCAAACCTCCACCTGTTCCATGGTGGAAGAATAGTGTGAGCGAGGCAATGGAGTAATACAGTTTAATCTTCAAATATGATTTTTAAAAATAAAGGTAAACCATACACAGGAAGTATTTGAACTGTTGGCTCTGATGTTAGTTCAAAGCTTATCAAATTTTTACTGAGTTTACCCAGAGCTTGGGATGAAAGACCCAACTGTGTTGGCCAGACATATGACCATATGTGCATCTGGGGTCCTTGGGTGTGATGCAGGCATGATCCTTACCAGGAATTGAGGAGCAGCAGCACTAAGGCACTGTTCAGATCTTACCTAGAATATTGTAACACTTGATCACCTGATGAGGAAAGATTAAATCAAGCAACAACAGCTACAAAAGATGGTAATTAGGAGGAGACAAAAGGAGAATCAGTTATAGCGGAGATAACTATGGAAGAGCTTTAATTCTCTTTTAGCCTAGTAAAGCGAAGAATAATGATAAGACCTTTTTGCTCTCTAAAAACATTAAAAGGAGATGAGCAGCAGGAAAGCTATTTAAAGGACAATTTTAGCAAAAGAACAAATTTATAGATTTTAATTCATGAATGAATTAGGCAGGATAGTTGGGAGTGCAGAGAAGCTCTGGAATAACTTACCAGAAGTGTTTCTAAATTCTGTTTGAATTCATCAGACTCTTCAGTAAACTGAATTTTACTAACATGGTAATAGGCTATCCAGATTTATTTTGCTGGCATGATTTTGATAGTTTCTGCCTCCTGGAAGGGCTTAATGAGAACTGGAGCTAGCAGGAGGGATGGCACTAGTAATGTGGGGGATAAGAAGAATATGTGATTGGAGAGCAGTGCTGTTGGTGGGGCCTTTGTAGGACTATTGACTGTGAACAAGTGACACAAAATCTGGCCAGGCTTACCTCTCCGTGACAGAGGATCCTTTTGCTGCCTGCAAGATAATTGTGGATGTAGTGGGATTGTCCCATTACCGCGCTCTCCTTTTCTTTTATTCCTCCCTGAGGGACTTCATTCGCCTGGTTAGATACCTGTCCTGGTTTCCTTGGGGTAGAATAATTGAATCAATTCTCTGTTCAGAGAAGCTACGTTTCTGAAGTAAGCTGCATTTTTAAGACTCCTGCAGCACCCAATTCAGTGAGAACAAAGTTGATAAGACACTTTGGTTTAGTTTGTAGCCAACCATGGTATGCAGGTGTCCATAATGATCAACAACTCTTTCAATTTGTTTTTACTAGCAACCCTAATGTCCGAGAACCTGGGAGGAGCGTGACGAGGGTAATTGACACCTAAATTGGCAGATGGGTATTCCACGCCATGTAAATTCATGCTAACGATAAATTGGAAAGCTTTTTGGGGACGGGTTCTCTTCCTCAATGGTTGCAGGCCCTGGAGGATCTCGCCTGTCGTTCTGCTCCCAGGGCGTACTCTCTCTCTCTTCTGGGATTGCGGTTTTAGGACTTTCCTGCTTGGGGATTGCTAGATGGGAATGGGATGAACGTTGGTCAACGGGTGGTGAACAACTGCACCCTGCGTCACCTGTCTGTATATATTATTAAATTGTTAGATATATTTTTAGAATTATTTTATTTTATTTTATTTTATTTCAATTATTATTTATTATATAAATAGTTCTTATCTCAATCCACAAATCTTTCTTCCTTTTCCTGATTCCTGTCCGTGATTGGGAGGGGTCATTGCGTAATAGAACAGCTGGCTATTGTTTAGACCCAGATATAGGCTAAACATAGATAATACGTTATTAATCTGTTTTTCACAAGGAGTCATCATCTTTCTTTTCATTGCAGTCATACCACCAGAGGTGTTGTGTTGTTATACAGCCCTTGCAATTGTGTGTCCATAGGGGTGTGCAGGGTTCTCAAATTGAATTAGTGGTGGCACTCAGCTGAGTGAATGCTCCAAAAAACGATCTTCACACAGTTGTGACTGTATATGGTTAAGAGCTAATATGCTTTAGAACTTCCCTGTTCTGTGATGTGCAGCCAGTGTTCCACTACTGTGTTGTTAAGGGCTGCTGTTCTGACAGATTTTTAAAAAGCTAGTGACAATATTGCTCAGGTGAGCAGAGCGCTGGTGAGCAGTGCATTCAGAGTAAGACAAAGTCTCAGTTTTGGCACAGTGCTGTGAAACTGAGAAGCTTCCTCTTCCATCGTTAGCTGGAAATCAGAAAGGCTACTGGCATACCTGCCATGCACCCAGAATTCTTTTGTTGAGAATACCCGGCTTTGTGATGATGCAGAAAGAGCCAGTATCTATACAGAGACAAATTGTCCTCTGTGCGTGTGCATCTTGGCCGTGCCAGCACCAAACTTTGTCCCTGCGAACAGATACACTTAAGCCGTATCACTTCCTCCTGCACCTGCTGCTAATTGTAGCTTCAGTGGGTTGCACTGCTGCCAAGTTAGCAAGTCTTCACAAATCAATTTGAAAGCAGCCTTACTCCACTTAGGAACTTAGCAGCTAATCACTGCTGCTCATTTCTGCTCTCTGAAGGGCCACTTGAAGGGCAGATTACTCTGCAGCAAAGCATTCATTCACTGCAGTTATGACCAGACGCTTGTGTAATTGAGCTGAGCTCGGTGGAATAACGCAGATGAATCACTGCAGCATACTATTTTTACACTATGTTCAGCTTGCGTTTGCAACAAGAACTTGTTTGAAGCTCGAGAGGCTTTTTTTAAAAAAAAAAAAAAAAAAGAGGGGGGGGGGGGCGAGGAGCACCAGTAATATTGGCTAAAAGCAGTGCATCACCATCTGTTGTGTTACAGCTATGATGTGCTGCTCGTGTGAGGTGCTGCTTTGGCTCAACAGTTCAGATCTACATTTGCATGCTAATTTGTAATGCTGTTCTGACTTCACAGTGGTGCTCTTGTACCAAGTTATATTACTCTCTTCTGCTTCCATGTAGCTGTTGATGCCATAGTTGTTTCGGGATTTGCCTTTTTCCTATTTATAGCAGAGGGCCATCTCTTCTCCTGCCCAGACTTTGCAGCCTTAAAACTGCCATGTTATGAGAAGTAGCAAGCTTAACTGCTCATTGTAGTGCTCTGAGGGAGCTATTGCTGATGCTATTAATTTAAGGAAAAAAGAAAAAAACCAACCACCCAACCCCAAAACCAAGTTACTTCGAGTTTACCTAACTCTGTGTTTTATTTATTTGTAAGTTTTATTCCAATTTATGGTGACTTTGTTTTTTCTTATTAAACTTACTCTAGTGGTATGTTATGCTGACTCTGTGTATAATGTGCTGAACTTAGTGCACTGACCAGTGGAAACATGCTTTTTAATTTAAGGGGTCTCTAGGAATTCTTGTAATAAGAGTAATGTTCTAGCATAGTTATGGCATAGCATAACAACAATAATTTATAGCAGTGGTACAGATGGTTTGTGAAGTATTATAGGGCAGAACATGGCCTTTCAGCAGGTACCATAGCATTGTTGCACAGGATGTTGTAATTACTTGGAAAATACAGGTAGTTATTCTTAGAAACTGACAAGCTGTGCATGTTGTGGAAGATCATTATTGTTCTTGAAGAAAGCAGAAGTGATACTTAACTTTCAGTAAAGTTGGACTGAACTTGAGACTACTTTAACTATCTTTGTTAGAGATACGTAAACAAACTCAACTACTTTCTAGTAAAACCCAGGTCACTCAAAATGAAAAATACAATACTGTCATAGAAATTATTTTGTTCTATTATTTTGTAATTATTTTGGTTTTTAATAAAGTAAACAGCTGGCAGATGGTTGGGAGATCAGCTTTCTTGGGTGCCTCTCTGAAGTGCTGGTACACTAAAGCATGCAGTATAAAAGGAGGAACTGTGTGCAGTTACAGGGCTATGATCTCATTGGCATCATGGACGCGTGGTGGGATAGGACATGGTTAAGAAGGACAGGCTGGGATGGCAAGAAGGCGGACTCCTTTTTACATGTCAGAGCAATGGCAGTGCATGAGCTGTGTGTGCCTAAGGATGGGTAAAGAGCCAGTCAGGAGCTTATGGGTCTGCACTAGAGAGCAGACTAATGGAGGTGACATCATGGTGGAAAAAGGAAAGCCAAAGCCCACCTAGAGTTGAATCTGGTAAGGGAGGCAAAGAGCAGTAGGAAAGGCTTCTATAGGTACAGGAAGACTAGGGGAAAATGTGGGCCTGCTACTGAAAAGGACAGGGGATGTGGTGACAAAGGGCATGGAAAAGGCTGAGATACTCAGCTTTACTCTTCTTTACCTTGGTATGTAGTGCTTGGTCCGACCTTCAGCGATCCTTGACCCCAAGAAGCCAGAGGGAAAGCCTGAGGCAGAGAATGCTTGTCCTCAGTAGAGGAGGATCAGGTTAGGGAACTTTTAAAGAAACTGGACGGACATAGGTGCATGAGACCTGATGGTGTGCACCCCTGCATGTGGGGGGAACTGACCAATGTCATTGCGAGGCCACACTTGATTGTCTTCAAAAGGTCGTGTTGATCAGAGGAGATTCCCAAGGACTGGAAGAAAAGAAATGTCAAAGCTATCCTCAAGATGGGCAAGGAGGAGGAGGAGATTCCATGGAACTAGAGGCTGGTCAGCTGCACCTCAAGCCCTGGGAAAAAGTGATGGAGCAACTAGTTGTGAAAAAAACTGTTTTCCAGACAGACAAAGCACAAGAAGGTGCTTGGGAGTGCTCAGCCTGGAAAAAGAAGGTTCAGAGTGAGGGATTGGTTGTGCAAATCTTATCATTGTGTATAAACATCTGATGGGCAGGAGTAAAGACGGCTCTGACTGGCTCTTCTTGTCAGTGCCTAATGGGGAATAAGAGCAATAGGTACCATTTGAAACATGTTAAATTTGTCAGAACATGAACCACTTTTTTACTGTAAGGGAGGTCAGGCACTGGCACAGGTTGCTCAGAGAGGCTGTGTAGTCTCTGTCCTTGGGGATATTCAAAACCTAACTGGAGAGGGCCCTGAGCAACCTGCTCTAGTTGACCCAGCTTTGAGCAGGTGGCTGGACTAGACAATCTCTGGAGATGACTTTCCATCTCAGCCATTTTGTGATTTTTGTGGTAGTCTGCAACCACCAGTTCTCATGAGTATGTCTGAAGCCTGTGAATTTACAGAAGCCTGTGAGTTTCCTTAGCTATTACGCTAGTATGTTTTTTGTTTGTAAGACAATTCTGTAGAAGCTCTTCATGCTAAGAAAAACTAAAGAGATTAACTATAGGTATTAAAACATTCTTACTATCTTTAGATGGTTATAATGAGTTGCCGAATTGGTAATATATGATCAAGCCCATGATATTTGAGATGTATGTTTTGGCTGGCCTTTATTTTGCTAGCTTTCTTATTGAACAGAATGAATATTCAATTGAGAGATACTGAAAAAATAATATATTTGTTTTATATAGAAAGTGGAAAAATATTATGCTTTTGAGATCCCGGATGTTCCAGCAAAATCTGAATACTTAGAAGTTAAATATTCGGTGAGTATAATTGATCTGATGAAAGACCATAACATGCTTTCTTACTTAATTAAGAATTTTATGAATTTATTAAAAGAAAATAATTGCAGGAATCAATCGCTAGTAGCTAGTGGCTGTACCTCTGTTGCAGTGTGTAGTTAGTTGCTCATTGTCTTACAACTAAAAAAAAAAAAAAAAGAGGTTAATACCTAAGCTTGTGGCGTTTTTTGTTATCATTTGTATGTTGGCTAGTCCTTAACAAAAACAGTTCGTTACCAGGTAACCTATAACATGTTGATTTGTTAGTGTTAGCTCTATTTGTGCAAATAAAGAATGAGGGGAAAAAATACTTCCTGCAACTCCTGCATTCCTCCTGCCTTCTCCCCCAATCGTAATTTGCGTACTGATTTACAACAATCTGTATTCCCAATTATCCCACTTTATTTTTTTTAATGCTTTGCCACTGAATCAACTAATCAGCCAAACAACCCTTTAGCTGTACAGGATCGGGCCCAAAGTGCTGCAAGATATTTTTAAATTACCTAGTACCCTGAAAGGTTTTGTTGAATCCATGTCCAGAGTATAGCTGCTATCTCTGCTTACATGGCTCTTGCAAATAGCAGCTGGGTGAGAAAGACTTTTGTGGAAGAGCTGTAAAATTGAGCAGAAAGGATAAAAAAAAAATTGCCATGAGAACATCAGTAGCTATTCTTAATTAACAAAAGTACCTGATTTGGTTTCAAACGTGAGAGACTCAGCAGTCTTGAACCTATGTGGTCAGTTGCTGAAATCATGCCTTTTTAAACCTTTTTTTCTAATGCTAGTTCTAGGTGCAAAGTGGGATCCCATAGAGATTTGCTAGCTGTCTCAAATTTTTCTTCAGCTGTGCAGAAATACTTTTTCCAGTCTTTACATGACAGACAAGATTTAAGCTCTGACTGTCTAATGACGTTTACAACACAAGCAGTTTCTGCATTAAAACGGTCGTTGAACATTGTTGTAGTCTGGCTGACGATGACATTTCTGTCTTACATCCAGTATGGATGAAAAATTTTTGCTTCAGTGCATTTTTACATTACTGCCCTGATTTTGTTATGTACCTTAGGTCAAGTCAATAGTGTAATTTCTTAGTTACTGTAACGTATTACAGGTTAAGGCTTTGCTTGTGGAAAATTACAGTGATTTCAGGTATTGTGTAGTTTTGTTAAGGTACTGTCTGAATGTCGAGTGTCAACCTTGAAGACTTCTGCGAGGTGAAATGACTCACTGCTTTCTGTTACTTGTTAGGCTGAATGCCCTCGGCTTCCCCAAGATCTGAAAGGACAAACATTTTCACATGTATTTGGAACTAACACCTCTAGCCTGGAACTTCTCTTGATGAGTAGGAAGATCAAAGGACCATGCTGGCTGGAAATAAAAAATCCACGTATGGTGATTTGCATGTGAAAATACACATAATTATAGATTGGAGGGGAGGAGGGGAAATTTAAATTGTACTGATAAATTATCATTTTGTAAATTAACTTTGCAATTTATCTGTGTAATTTTCATTATCTAGTACAAATTGTAACTTACTCTTCCTTTTTTGAGTGAGAGCTCTATCCATATGAAGTTGCACACTGTACTGATGAGACTAAACTTTGTTGGCGGTGAGAGGGAACTATGCAGTGCCTTACAGCTACTCTGGTGTGTACCCTAAAGCCATGTATGCTGAGCTAAAGTTAGCTTCCTAGAAATTTATTCCTCTTTCTTCTCTTGATAACTTAAGATTCATTGTTTTTTCTGAAAATCTATCTTTTTATGAAAAAACTGCTGCTAGATGGCTTTTCTCTTTGTGCGTTAGGTTTTTTTTTCTGGCACTTCTTAGAAAAGTTTGTGGTGCGAAAGTTTTTTAGTTTGAAATCCTTTCCACTTCATGAGTGGCATGCACCACTTACAGGTGGTTATGCCACCCTATTTTGGCTTGGTTAGAGCCCTGTATTCAATGTGTGCTGCGTATTCCCAAGAACGCAGGGAAGTTGATCATATTGGACAAAAGCTACATCTATTAGTGCAATCTCTTTGAGGCACTTTCAATATAGAATTAATAGTATCGAACGCTGACACGAGCAGGATTCTTCTCTTCAGCGCCTGACTCAGTCACTGATAAAGCTAATACCAGTGAGGATTTTGAGCTGGAATAGACAAAACAAGTCCCTGACTGCCAAAAGACAGATTAGCTCTGATGGGTTTTCTACCAGACATTGGCAAGCATCAGTATACTTCCTGGCGCTGATTTTGAAGGTCCAAGAGTCATTTTTGATCTGCACTTTTCAACCAAGAATTGACCTTGTATTTCTTTGACATGTTCTTTCTTCACCTGAAAAAAGTCCAGAGCTATTTTGTTCTTCATATCCAGTATGACAAATATTAGGGCAATGGTAAATAACAGTTCAGGCAGTATTCAATTTTTCTTAATGCTGACGTGCGTTATCTCCCCTTAGACTACCTTGCCTGAGCTCAGATACTGATTCCAGCCCAGAGTTAAATGGTAAACTAAGGGAGCTCTTTTTTCCCCATTCCCTGATCTCCATTATAGCCTTCAGGTTTCAGAGATAGTCCATGTCTCCAAATCAGAATTGCTTGTTTCAGAACTGTGGCATGCCCACTCTGTTGGAAACTGCCTGTTAAGCTGGCTAGTTATCTTTATGCAAGCTTCTGTAGTCATTGCACTGGATTTTGTGCTCCAAAGCTGATTTGTGTGTGTGTGTCTAGTTTACCAGAAGATTCTTGCTTTCTTGTGTAACTTCCCTTCCGTGCTTCCCATAGAGGGTGTCAGGGATAAGAAGTATACCTGGAAGGTTTAGAGTAAGTGAGTCTCAAGCCATTTGATCAAACTCCTACAACTTCTCCAAAAACTGTCGTCATTATTCATAATGAAGCTGTCTTTTCCAGTTTATCAGTGCTAGATAGCACCAGAGCTTTTCTAGAGCAGCAGTCCCCAAACTTGTTATATTCTGCACCCCATCAGTAAAAAAATAAGCATGTACCCCCAATATATAGATACTTATTTATTTATAAATGATATACATGTACTACTATACTAATATATTATGTAGATTTTAAAAGAAACACAAAATAGAAATTATAAAAGGATGAAGTATGTGAAAGAAACACTTTTAAAACTATTTCTTTTATTTATTAATGGTACAAAAAGTATTTTCTTCTCACACCTGAATGGATTGTCTTATGCACCCCCTGGGTTTCATGCACCCCACTTTGTCCTGTAAAATGCTAGTTGAAGCTCTGGTTGTTAAGATACTGGAGATCCAAGAAAAAAGGTGTTAAGGAACTGATTACATGTTTTCCTTTGGAGAGATCATCAGTGTTTTATAAATGAAAATATTTTAGTCAGTTACCTGTTTGCATTTGGAGCAAGAGAAAATAGAGAAGGTAATATATGTGGATTTCCAGAGAGGGGTCAAATAATTTTGCAGGGAGTAAGATAACCAGGTCTACCAACAGCTGTCTTCAAAATGTTAGTCCCTCAGAAATGTAACCTCTGCTTCCTTCTAACTGCATGTAGTGAGTTACCTCAGCAACATGTTTTGTGAATGATGAGGTTTTTTAAAAGCAAGTCAAGAATGACAGACCAAAATGTTCAAATAATAATGGGTGGTGAACATGCCTTCCCTACCTCCCCACCCCCATCCATCCGTATAATTTTTGAGCTCTTGTACACTTTATGCCTAAATAGCTTTTGGTGGCCTCCCTTAAATTTTAGGGTAGCTTATACTACCACAGTAGGATGAACTCTCTTTTTACGTCATCCGCCATCTCCTTATTTCCATAATTGTGGTTCTGAAGGACTGTGTTTAAATGAATTACCCAGTGCATTTCAGTCAGTCATACGTTCTTAATCTCATTTGATCTAAATTCTTTTGATTAGCACTCTGGCTGCCTTTTCTGTAGCGTTTAAGAAATTTCCGTGTAAATGAAAGTTTCACTTGTATTAATTTGATTTTTATGAAGTCTCTCCCTTTGGACTGACTACATGATTAGATGCTAAGAGGCAATATATTAATTTAGGTGGAGTCATGCTCACTTGGTTTATACCTTTTTCTACTATGACTCTATATAAAGCTGCCTGAAGTATTTTTTTGCATTAGACATCTTCCTGGCTTCAATACGAATCTTCCCTCTCTTCTTTGGTGTTGAGGAGCCCTGGTGTGACTAGGCTTCTGACTGGGGAGTCAGGGCCCAGGGAGTTACCAAAAATCGGGCAGGATTAGTCTGGATCTTGGGCTGTCCCACAAGGGCAAAACGTTAAAAGGCCATGCTGTGTGTGACAGTGCTGTTAGAGAAGCCTTACCTGTGCTTCCCAGAGAATGATGGTGGTTTGTGTTGTTTCCTCAGAGCCTTCCAGTCAGTCCGTCAGCTGGTGTAAGGTGGAGGCTGTGGCTGTGAAGCCTGCCTTGGTCAATGTGGCTAAAGATCTTTCTCCTCCTCCTCCTCTCGTGGTCATGTCCCTTAGTATGAAGACTACTCAGAACCCAAAGACTCACCAGAATGAGGTAAGTAATCTGCTCTCATTTTGGTTTGGTTTCATTTTGTTCACTAAAAATTCTCCAAGGCTCAGAAGAGCTTCGCCTGATAAAGCATGTCTAAATATATTTACTGTTGAATATACTTTCTGTGTTGTGGGCTTTCCAAAGAAGCTTTTACTGGGGTCTCACCAGTGTGAGAACTGTGGGTTCAGGGGGCCTGTTTGGTGAGAGTATTTACTGTGACAGTGGATCCTATATATTTTTCCAAGCTGCTCTTTTGTCTGTTTTGCATAATAGTTATAAATGAAACTGTCCCAAAAGAGCTGTAAATGTTTGGTTTTTTTTTTTTTGGTAGAGCTAATCATAGGTTCTAGATAAAATGACAGATTTTCTACTGATAAAACTCATTTTGACATAGGAAGAGAATTTGGTCTAAATACTCTACCACCTACTATTCTGCTGCGAGATGTTTCCTTTTCTCAGCAAGGAGGAGAGATGTAGGTGGCCACTCTCACTTGTGGACTGCAGACACACACCGAACAGTTGGGCACGTTTATCTGTTTGTTAGCACAGGTCTCCCTAGCTTAGAAAGAGATTTAGTATTTGCTAATAGGATAGTTGTTTCTGGCTAGTTGAATGCCAATCACATTGAATCCAAGCACAAGTACAGGCTAGGTGGAAAATGGATCGAGAGCAGCCCTGAGGAAAAGGACTTGGGAGTGCTGGTTGATGAGAAGCTCAACATGAGCTGGCAATGTGCGCTGACAGCCCAGAAAGCCGACTGTATCCTGGGCTGCATCCAAAGAAGCGTGGCCAGCAGGTCGAGGGAGGTGATTCTGTTCTCGTGAGACCCCACCTGGAGCACTGCATTCAGCTCTGGGGCTACCTACATAAGAACGGCATAGACTTGTTGGAGCGGGTCCAGAGGAGGGCCACAAAGATGATCCGAGGGCTGTAGCACCTCTGCTATGAAGACAGGCTGAGAGAGTTGGGGCTGTTCAGCCTGGAAAAGAAAAGGCTCTGGGGTGATCTTATTGCAGCCTTCCAGTACCTAAAGGGGGCCTACAGGAAAGCTGGAGAGGGACTTTTTACAAAGGCGTGTAGTGATAGGACAAGGGGCAATGGCTTTAAACTGAAAGAGGGCAGATTTCGCTCAGATCTAAGGAAGAAATTTTTCACTCAGAGGGTGGTGAGGCACTGGAACAGGTTGCCCAGAGAAGTTGTGGCTGCCCCATCCCTGGAAGTGTTCAAGGCCAGGTTGGATGAGGCTTTGGGCAACCTGGTGTAGTGGAGGGTTTCCCTGCCCATGGCAGGGGGGTGGGAACTAGATGATCTTTGAGGTCCCTTCCAACCTGAACCATTCTATGATTCTATGATTCTGTAATGAAAGAAAAATTAGGCTGACATATTTTTCAAGCAGAATTAGTCCTCTTGGTGAAGTTAAATTTTTTTGGGGGGGAGTATGGAAAATTACTGGTTTCTAGCCAATGTAATGAGACATACGCCAGGTACTGACAGGGCTCTGCTTGCTAAGGTGTTTCTAAAGCCTGTCTGCTTTGTCTTCTGTTGGGTTTTCCTGACCTGTGTCTGCGGAGCCAGGACGTCCTGCCAGCAAAGCAAGCTGAAGCATCAGTAAAGCTAATAGCTGCTAAACGCTGAAACCTCTTGGCAGTCTTGGCTGCTCAGGGGCAGCCCTTCCAGAGGCAAGGCTTCTGTGTGTCCTGCCCTGCTCACATCTGCCCTGCACTGCATAGGGAATCCTTTAAATTGTGAGATCTGTTCAGATTTAGAACAAAATTTGATAAAAGCAGGGTTTTCCAAAATGGATTATTTTTTCTCTAAGATTTCTAAGGTAATAATTTAGGAGTGAGTTCTGCTTTATTTTACTCGGAGATCAATTGATAACTTTTCTTCTTTTTGACTATTTATGGTTGGAGTTAATTTTAAAAAGATCTCTTCTAGAAACAAGAGAAAAGACGTGAGGAAACTTTAAAAAAAAAAGGGGGATGAAAGAAATGGGTGTTCATAGTAGTTATGTTTATGAAGTTGTGTGTTCTGTATCTCCTTGGTACAGATTGTGGCTGTTGCAGCTCTGATTCATCAGAAATTTCCTTTGGATAAGGCTCCACCTCAGCCTCCTTTTCAGACACACTTCTGTGGTATGTACTTGGAACAGGTTGAGTAGAAAAATAATTCCTTTGGAGTTTTTCTTTTGTTGTGTTTTTGTTGGGGTTTTTTTGTTTGGTTGGTTTTGGGGTTTGGTTTTTGCTTTGTTGTTGTAGTTTGTTTGGGTTTTGATTGGTTTTTTTTTTTTTATTTCATTCTGTCACTCCAGCAATAATGGTTTAGAATAAGTAAGTGACAAATTTTCAACTCCCAGGCAGGCTTTTCCCACTGTTGTTAACTTCCCTGGTTACTGACTTTTTATTGAAGACTTTATTGAAAAACTCTTAGTTTGAGATGATGCAAAGTAACACTGCTGCATGCTGTTTCCTGTCGGTTTTATTAGTTTTACTTTATCGTGTGTTCTGTTGGATTACCTTCTTCACCCATTAATTTAGACCATTTATTTACTGTCATTTAGTTATTTTTCTATTCTTCTGAACAGAATTAAAAAAATAAGCATGTCACATTTATTTATAAACAAGTTTTCTTAGGAAAAAAGGTCTCTCAAAGCTGTGTCATTAGACTAAGGTCTGCTAAACCTTGAAATTCAAACCTCAGTTGGAAGCGATGAAGCGTGTTGAATGCTTGTGAGAGGAAGTTCTTCAGAAGCTGTGGACCATAGTTTTAATCTCCAATGATAACCTCAAATATGACTGATTAAAATTGTTTGATACTTTATTAATTACTCAGTTCTCTTAAAGACAAGAATTCACATCAGGCTAGTAGAATTAGAGGTTAGTTTTCCTTAGCTCCCTTTGTTGTGGATGGATGCTTACAGGGAGGGTACAATTAGTAACGTGTGTGTAAGAAGAAATATAATTTCTTTTGCAGTTGTTTCCAAACCGAATGATTGCATTTTTCCTTATGACTTCAAAGAAGCTATTAAAAAGAAGGTAATTTAATTTTGTTAGCATTCCGATTGCAGTACCTTTTAAAATATGAACTTCATGTTGCTTTGGGTAAGTTGTGTAAGAGAAGTATTCAAAGGAATTGCATGATTATTTCGTTAGTTTTACACTCTGCAAACCTAAATCCAGGTATATATTCTGTGTTGCTTGTAAAAACAGAGGCGTGTGTGCTCTGTGTGATTCAGTACTGCTGCTAGTTGTGCTCATAAAATAGTCTTAGACAAGAGAATTGGAAAGGTTTTGCAAAGAGGTTAAAATTATGGTTCATTTTCATTATACCTGACTATGTACTTGTAGTAAACTGGGAGAATTTCTCCCTTCTTTCCTTAGAGAGTAAAGTCTGTCAAAATTTAGGAGACATCCTTTCTAAAGGGCATTGGGACAGCTGACAATAATAAAGTCACCTATTTTTGTTTTTCCTCTGTTTCTGTGTGATCTTAAGCCTGTGAGTGAAGGACGCACATGGAGCATTTTCCTGGTGTGCTTGATTCTTAGGAGGCTCTTAAAATATCACTAGACACCTGCATACAAAAGCCTCTGAGAAAAGCTTTCTATGTCTATGGGAGTGAGAACAAAAAGCCTTGAATTACAGAAGGAAAAGAACTCTGGGGTGCATTATTATTGTCTTGTAACTAGTAGGGGAGAGGAGATGTTTCCATTTTAAACTTATTGGGTCATTGAAATCAGGTGCTCTCTTGCTCCTTTTAGAATGCTAAAATAGAAATTGCTGCAACAGAGAGAACACTGCTGGGATTTTTGCTTGCAAAGATTCACAAAATTGACCCAGATGTTGTTGTGGTGAGTAGTTCTGAGACTTTGAGAGTTAAATTAAAGCATATTGTCAGTTGGTCAGCTTTGTTCTTTTGCTTTTGTCCCCTTACAGGTTTTTTAATGTTTATCTTAGACTGCCTTATGAATTGAATTTGCTTATAAGACAGCAGGTATACTTTGACATGAAGATGGTACAGAATTTTCCCTGACAGCATTTTATACATCCTGTTATTTCCCATAATATCTAAAGTAGGCAGTATTTCCATAGTACTTGAAACAAGTCTTTTTTTTTTGCTTTACTCAGAAAGACAAAATACAACAAAAATAACCCTTGTGATTATCTAGAAAAAATGGGAACTTTTGGTATACTAAGGAGTCTGTTTCAGTTCAGATGCTTATTTAATTTGTGTGACTGTTTAGATTGTGTTTAAGCTGTAAATCAAAATGATAACCTATGTAAATCCACAGGATCTGAGCAAAGTTTTGTAATAAGCATTCTTATTTTTCTACTGTATTGGCAGCTGAGGATTTATTATAATTACTCATTTTCTGTTTTTGTTTTGTTTAATTAATGTACAGTCCTGACTTTCATTTAATGAAATTTTGAAGACAATTTAAAGTTGGTTATGAATCTGAGGTTGGTTATGTACAACTTGGTATTCTTCTGTAGGTAAATATAAATAATTAAGTGGTGAGAATAGGACGAGCAGTCCGATTCCTGATGTTTTCGGCTTGCTGTGGCTGGTATATGTGGTATTTGCCCTACAAGCTGAGCTTCCTGGGAGTTATGGGAAGGAATCAGGGGAAACGCTGCAGCCAATGGTTTTAAATTGAAGATTCCAGTAGTAGAGGTGCGAGAGCTCTGATCCTAAAAACAGCAGAGCTATGTTAATGCAGTTTAATTTGCACTTAATTTAATTAGTGCTGTTGAAAAACAAGCTGTATCAATATAGGTAGGACTCCTCTACTATGACTGTAATACTGCTGATGATTTTCAGGAGCTTCATCTTTAGCACAGTAATGTGCTACATGGATGTATCTGATATGGTGAACCTGCATTTCCTGGTGACTGACTGGTCCACATAGACTTATTCATCAGAGTAGCGTTTTGCTTTCAGCTGGGATTACAGACTAGTGCCATCAATGTCTTTAGTATTGTTGATGTTTAGCAAATATTGCTGGAGTACTTTGATATGTAAATATTGGTTGCAAGGTCTTCCTGTCCAGGTTTAACAGCTATGCCTGTTGTAGTATCAAAGGAGAAAAATGACATTATTTTGATGTTAAGATTGAGACTTTCGTGGATAGAGAGAAAAGGAATTACTCATAGCTAGATTTATATGCTGTATAAAGAATGTTGGTTTTTTTTCTAGAAAGCTTTAAATCCCAGTCTCTGGTATCAAAACATAAAGCTGAATTGTGTGTGCTATGAGCCAGTTATAGAGCTCATTTTGGTATTCTGCTGAACAACTTTGTTAGTGTTAAGACTAATGAGTACTGTTGATGAACGTTCTCTTAGACAGTGCTTTTTATGAGAGAGATAATGCCATCAATTAGTAGGAAAAAACCACAAAGGGCAAAGGAATACCAAGTGTGTGAAAGTAAGTCTTTCAATTTGCATTTGTTGTAACCTTTTTTTGCTGTTTTTTCTGCTGCAAGGGTCATAATATTTATGGATTTGATCTGGAAGTGCTGCTTCAAAGAATTAATGTGTGCAAAGTCCCTCACTGGTCCAAGATAGGTCGACTGAGGAGGTCCAATATGCCAAAGCTTGGGGTAATAAGATTGCTCAAGTCTTTTAAGCTCCTTTAGGTTGCATGTGATTAAAAATGAATTAATTTTGCTAAGGAGTTGTGAATGTGACACTGATGTATTTTGACTGTTGGTCATGCTGTATTTCATGTGTCCCAGATCAGACATGATTAGTGTTTATATGACTTTTATTACAGTAATAAGCTAAACTAATTTTCAAGTTAGGCTAATTTAGTTTACATATCTCAACTGGATGATGGTAATGACAGATTAATTGCAATAATCTTTACTGTAACAGTCTTTGTCTGCTATAACTGTAAAATGAGAAAATGTCATTTGGATTGATTGGTGAATCATCCCATAGAGAGCTGTTAAGTTAGTAATTCTGTAGTTCTTGGTATGTATTTGTTCAGAGGAGTGTGTGTGAGGTTTGGAGTACTGAAGTGCTGAACATGGACGTGTTCTTGCCTGTTCCTGTTGTTCCTAGAAGCCAAGATGAGTATTTGTGTGTGGCTTGTTCTGTGAGTTTTTTGCCCTGGTGTTGGTACAGAAAATATCCTTGGAGGGAAACTAAATCCACACTCATGTTCTTGCTGGGACTATTCTAATTATTAAAGGGAAAAAAAAAGCATGACAGTTTAAGAATTAAGATCTAAGTAGTAATGAGAGTTAAGGATCTACTTCTTAATGTCCATATATACGGAAAGATGCCATGGTTTCCTTTAGAGCATAATTATAAAGCTTGAGTATTAGTGGTATTTAGTAGAGTATTTAGAGTATTAGAGTATTTAGAGACTAACTGACTTGACTGAGTCTTGTAAGCGCATATTTTGGATAGATGTTCTGTGTTAGTGTTTGCATGTTTCATTTTGTTTGGGTTTTTCTGTCCTTTTGTGATACGGTTAAGGGTCGAGGAGGGTTTGCTGAAAGGAATGCTGCCTGCGGTCGAATGATCTGCGATGTAGAAATTTCTGCTAAAGAGTTAATTCGCTGCAAAAGTTACCATTTATCTGAACTGGTCCATCAGATTTTGAAAACAGAAAGGACAACAATTCTGCCAGAGGACGTTCGAAATATGTACAGGTAGGTTCTGACTTGTGTTTTTAATCCTTCACTGGAAAGTAGAGGAGCTAGTTTCCCGCTATACAATTTCATGCTTGCTTATTTGGTTTGTGGTGGCGATGCTGATTTAGCATACTGGAATTTGAAAAGTAAAATACTATTTTAACAGTGTTTTATAATGTTTCAGGCTACTGATGGGTGGTGGCTTATTATGTGTGAAGAAAATTGACTTGTGAGAGCATTGGTGTAGACACGTTAATAGGATATGCAAGCTTGAGTTTTGGGATTTTTTTCAATTAAAAGAGCTTGCTATATAATTCAGCACTGATGAGCTACAGATACTACGTGTTTCAAACAGCATATAGGTCTAAACTACTGCAGAGTACAAAGGAGGCTGATTTTACTTTGTCTGGCCATCCCCCTTCTTTTCCCAGTATTTCTCCTCACTTAATATTCATGCTGGAAAACACCTGGACAGATGCAAAGTTCATTCTGCAGATTATGTGTGAGCTGAATGTTCTGCCACTGGCCCTTCAAATAACAAACATCTCGGGGAATGTCATGGTACGTTTTTATTACTTCCCCCTCCCCGTCCATTGTCGCACAAAACCGGTTCTGTGTTCTTTGTGTTTGATTTGCTAGTTTTAATTTGTAAGCACTAATTGAGAATATATGATGCTCTAAATTTTTTGCTGTGACGAGTGTGAGAATTTGACAATCTGGTCAAGTAATAATATAAAAACTTCCATAAAAATATCACATTTAAGTTTTGTGCATGGTGATGATACAGAATAATAGTAATGCTAGAAATAGTTGAAGGACGTTGCTTGGTCTGTTTTTGTATGTCAGTGTTTCCTGTGCTTTGCTTTGTTTTCTTTTTTGGCCTCTCTGTAGTCGAGGACAATGATGGGTGGACGATCTGAACGTAATGAGTTCTTGCTACTTCATGCATTTCATGAAAAAGACTACATAGTGCCGGACAAACAAGTTTTTAAAAAGCCTCTGCAGAAACTGGTGGGTTCAGTTTTTCTCTTTCCAAGAGTTTTTATTAAAAAGGAAAAAAAAAGATTCTTCTATCTTTTGTGTATTACTGTCCTATGAAAGCATGGAAAACCCAAACATAGTCAGTTTTAGATAAAACTTAATGTTACAGCTTATGCTTAATTAATTTTTTTTTGGTTGAGTTGATAATAGAGGAATGTATGCTTTAAAGGAACAATTTAACGCCTTTTCCATCGTATCACAGATCTGTGGAAAATTAGTTGCTCATTTAGTTTAAA